TTTTTTTTTTTTTTTTTTTTCTTTTTTTATCATTTTAATTAAAATGACCAATGAAGAACAAGATCCAAGATAGGTAAGTGCAGAAATGTTCGCCACCGCAGACGATAAAAAGATCGGCGACCAAAATAAACCATCTCTTCCCTTCTCCACAGTCCGCCATTGAAGCCCTCTCTCTTATTATCTCCGGATCTTCCTTTTTCCCCTTTTAAACCGCCATTAAAATGCTTTCTTCCCGCATTAATCTCCCACCAACCCCACTTTCCACCAACCCCACCTCCCCTTTTCCCCGCTTTTCCCCAAATCTCCTCCCATCCGTCCGATCTAAACCCTCCGATCGCCACCGATTCTCCACCTCTGCCGCCATTAATGGCGTCTCTTCAAAACCCACATCTCTAATTTTCCACCCAATCTCCAAATCGAGCCTATTCTGCAAAAATCCCGTGGACCGATTTAGGGTTTTCCCTTCAAAACCTAACCTCCATGTCCCCGCCGCTGCTGCCGCAGACGGCGGCGATACCACCGCTGATTCTGCCTCCAGCAACAAAACGCTTCAACTCGCCGTCGTGTTTGGGCTATGGTATTTCCAGAACATCGTATTCAATATCTACAACAAGAAGGTTCTCAACGTTTTCTCATTTCCATGGCTTCTCGCTTCGTTTCAGCTCTTTACTGGATCGATTTGGATGCTTGTTCTTTGGTCATTGAAGCTTCAACCATGCCCTAAAATTTCAAAGCCGTTCATAATGGCTCTCCTCGGCCCCGCTTTATTCCACACAATCGGCCATATCTCCGCCTGCGTTTCGTTCTCAAAAGTCGCTGTTTCTTTCACTCATGTCATTAAATCGGCTGAACCAGTCTTCTCCGTTCTGTTCTCTTCATTCCTCGGCGATTCATATCCAATCCAGGTCTGGCTCTCGATTCTCCCCATTGTTTTTGGCTGCTCTCTGGCCGCCATTACTGAAGCTTCCTTCAATTTCGAAGGTCTTTCAGGCGCCATGATCAGCAACGTAGGGTTTGTGTTAAGAAACATTTACTCAAAAAAGAGCTTGCAGAGCTTCAAGGAGGTTAATGGGTTGAATTTATATGGCTGCATTAGCATAATTTCTTTGTTGTATCTGTTTCCTGTGGCGATTTTCGTTGAAGGGTCGAAATGGGTTCAAGGATATCATCAAGCAATTTCCTCCATTGGTAATGCTTCAACGTTATATCTCTGGGTTTTGATTTCTGGAATCTTTTATCATCTTTATAATCAATCTTCTTATCAAGCTCTTGATGAAATTAGTCCATTGACATTCTCTGTTGGGAATACAATGAAAAGAGTGGTTGTGATTGTAGCTTCTGTGTTGGTGTTTAGAAACCCAATTAGGCCTTTGAATGCTATTGGTTCTGCTCTTGCCATTTTTGGGACTTTTCTGTACTCTCAGGCGACGTCGAAAAAGAGTGCTAAGAAGATTGAGGAAGGAGAAAAGAAGGATTGAAGAACATGAACATGAACATGAACATGAACAAGAAGAAGCCATTGTTGGGGTTGGATGGAGTGATGGAATTCATTTTTTATGCTCATTTTGCTCTGTTTTCTTTTGTGTTTAGTTCAGGAATGACTAATAAAATCTAGATTTTGTGAGTTTTAAGCTATGAAATTAAGTTGCAGCCATGGTTTTGTTGAGTTATGGATCGATCAATCTCTGTTCTGTTTCTCTTCTCTTTGAAAATTATGGGTTTCTGAAGGAACTTAGGCAATTTCAGAGTATTAATTGTCTTGATCAATGGAGTTTTGTCATTTTGAAGCTGTGGCTGATTGAATTTGAACTCATAAACCTTAGTCCAAACCAAAATTTAGCCATTATTGTTGTTCGAACTGATTGATTTGAGCCTTATTTACGTCTCATTTGTGGTATCATTTTTTGGGTGTGCAAATTGTATCGGTTTTCAGGTTTGTTTGAAACTTTGGCGGGAAGGACCCGATGAATCTAACCCAACGTTTGGATCGAGTTATCAATTTATTTGAGTTTAATTTGGTTGAGTTGATTCAAGACGGTAGAACTTGATGAATCTAACCCAATTTTCAAGTTGAGTTATCAACTTATTTGAGTTTAGTTCAGTTGAGTTGATTTAAGACCAAAGAACTTGATGAATCTAACCGAACTCCCAAGTTGAGTTATCAACTTATTTGAGTTCAGTTCATAGTTTAGTTCAGTTGAGTTGATTCAGGAACGAGGAACTTAAGGAATCTAACCTAACTTTCGAGTTGAGTTATCAACTTATTTGAGAACAAAGAAATTGGGTCGAGTGGGTTATAAGAACTTAACGAATCTAACTCAGCTTTTGAGTTGAGTTATCGGGTTGAGTCATTTAGAATCGAAAAACGTATGAATCTAACTCAACTTTTGAGTTGAGTTATTAACCTATCAAAATTGAACTGGGTTGAAAATTAGTTTGATTTATTCTCCCATATCTCTCAAAAATAAGATTTTTAGTATTTATAATTTAAATTTTCAAAATATATACGAAAATTATCGTGCAGATATTTTATATATTAATATTTTTTATTAAAAAAATTAAATCAATTATTCGAATCATAAGAATCATAATATTTAAAATAAAAATAATTTTGTAAAAAAAAGAATGCTTTACTCGAACTAAAATATGGGTCGGAAGAAATTAGTAAATAAAATTTAATATTTATAGAATTATTCTTATTATTATTTTCTTAAAAACTTTTTTTTTTTTTTTTTTTTTTTTTTTTTTTTTTTTTTTTTTTTTTTTTTTTTTTTTTTTTNTCATTTACGTCCCTATCTCAAGAATTAATGAACTGAAGAACGTACCACTGAGGGTTTCATTCTCCGCTTGCTCCGGTTTCTTACAGGTTACGAAACAAGAATCTTCCTCTTAACCTTCTCTTCCGCATTTTCGTTTCCGATCAACGAATACTGACCGGAAGAAAACCAGAAAAAGTGCGGGAAATCGCCAAGTAAATGTGAGTGTTGATTGCATTGCGTCTTCTAATCTGTTAGTTTTTTTTTCGATCATCTAATCATGAATTTTATCCGATTCTCCCCTTTCCGCTGTCACATTTGGATTTTGCAAGTGATTTGTACTGAAAAGAGGTCTCCAGATGCAATCGCAGGAGAAACCTCCGACAGAGCCTACAGAAATGCAGCCGCAAAATAGTAGAATTTTGCCGCTCTCTGGCAAACCCTACCATGGCGTGATTCTTTCTAAGTCGCATGTCGCTCCCATATGTAATATGGTAAGTTCTCGCTCTCATGGAAATCACTCAGAAATTTTAGAACAGTTATAGTTATAAACAGAATTGGATTGTGTGTGCTTGCATTGTAAAAACCACTAGATTTTACGGCCAATCCAGGAAGTATTTGGCTGGTTTGATCAGCAATAGTTTTGGTATCTTTTTGACTTGCAAGATTAGCCAGTGTGAAAACTATTAGAGAACCAGTTCATAATAAAAGTTCTGTAAAAATAAGTGTTCGTTTAGTATTTGATTTTTTTTAGAAGAATTAACTGAAAGATTACTTTTAGAATCATTCAATCTCATGATTATTAGGACTTGACAGTACCAAATTCTTGGCTACTGCCAGAGGCTCAAATTAGCCTATTTTTCAGCATATATATGAATCAGCTTTATTGTAAGGGACTATCATATCTTCATTTGTAGTTCTTGCCAGCCAAATTTCATTCTGTTTTACCTGCTATTATGATCCCTGCGGTTCTTTACTGTGAGGGAAAGAAATGGAAGATCGATTATTATGGGAACCGACGCGGTAAAGCTCTTGACACAAAACAATGGAGAAAATTTGTTAATGATAATCATCTC